CCATGTGGCTTCCCCCCGTCCCTCACACCCCCCCCCCGGCCATGAAACAGTGTCCCTAGAACCAAGGAGCACTTCCTTCCAAGAACAAGAGCCCTGCTGGAACAGACTGCAGGCCTCTCTAGTGTAGCAGCAGCCTGTTTCTCACAGTGGTGAACCAGTTGTCAACGAGAGCCACACACAGAGGAAAGAAAGGCAGCAGTGACTTCCTGTTTCTGTTCACCATTGGTGAAAAAGGTGAACAGAAACCAATGTGAACAGAAAAAGGTATCATTCTGGTATATCGATACCAGATTGGTATCATTCTGCCTCTGGTACTGGGAGTACCAGGATGGGCTATGCTGGTGTTGTGCTGTTTACAGACTCATGGCCCTTAGAAAACATTCACTGGTAGAATCTTCCTCATTGCATCAACATGCCGGGAACATTCTCTGCATTGCAACTGGAAATACAGATTTAAAAGCAAAGGTACCCATGGCTACTGTTTTGAAGAGAGAGGTTGGTGCTAGCGTTTCAGTCCATTTTTACTCAGACTTCGATTCTACCAACTGTTTTCATGTATGGGATGTTCCAAACCACTTGTATGTCATTGTGAAGCACCCTAGAATTATTGTAATAAAAGCCGGAACCCTTCAGAAAACCATTTCATGTAATACATTAGTGTGATGCCCTTTCCTCATGAATATACTGACTATAGCGCACTAGGCCAAGCTTTTCTGCTTTTGTTCTATTTGTAGTCGTTAATAATGGGGGAATCACTGGCCCTCAAAGCAATGTGCAAGCGCATCAAGATATATATGGAAAACTATAAAACCCACTTTTCTTAAACTTGGTGGTTGGGAAAATCTTATGACTGCCCTTCTGATTCAGGCACCACCATCCAAAGATATAAATTAAAAAGACAGAGAGAGAAAACAATGAAGTACATAAACACCACTCTGGATTTCAGCCACAGAATATTGTAGCCAGCAGATAACAGAAGCCAGAGGTTTGTTCATGTTTGCTTAAGGTCTGTGTATCTTACCAGGGCTAATTGATGAGATGCCAGGGCACATATCAGTTGTGTAGTCAGGCCTGTGACCAAGCATGTGACTGAGTGGCACCCTGGCACCTCATCAGTCAGTGAGCTGTGGCAATTTACACAAAACCTACATGACCACCATTGAAAGGAATTCTGGCCATAGCTACTAGCAGTTCAAAGAATGCCCATAGCTAAGGTACAGGTTTTTATTTTACTGGTGGCAAAATGGCAGTCAGGGCCTTGAAATGCATTTCCAGGTTGGGTGTCGTATATTTTTCCTGATCTCTGAAGTCCTTGAACAGCCTTGTTGCAGCAAATTGCCTCCATAAACAGCTTGTAAAATATTCTGTTTTCACTGTATGGTTTGTCAGTCTTGTGCTTTTGCGAACAGTGTGCATAAAAGCTAGCAAATTGCTTTTGTTAAATGCTCAAACTATTTGCCATACGTTAGGTGTCAACAAACACCTACACAGTTCTTCCAAGAGGGTCCTGGTCTCCCTTGCTGGGAAGTACAAATCAGCTGCCAGTTGTCCAACTTCCAAACATCTTTGGTCTGTTAAAAATTCCTACCTGAATAAAGGGCCAAAGATCACCGTTAACAATTGTTTGCTGGAAGCAGAAGTCTTCCTTTATTAAACATCGAGATGGAGGAGGTCTTTAAGGGAAACAGAAGAGAGAAGCACACTTGCTGAGCCTCATGGTGCAGTGGTTAAATCGCTGTACTGCAGCCAAAACTCCGCTCACGACCTGGGGCTCAATCCCAGGTAGCCGGCTCAAAGTTTACTCAGCCTTCTGTCCTTTTGAGGTTGGTAAAATGAGTACCCAGCTGGCTTGGGGGGGGGCAATGTGTAGCCTGCATAATTAACTTGTAAAGCGCCCAGAGAGTGTTTGAAGTGCTATGGGGCAGTATATAAGCAGCACGCTTTGCTTTTGCTTTTTTGCAGTTACACAAATACTGTTAGGAATTCTGCCTGGTGCCCAGAAGACCTTGCAAAAATTTTCCACTGTGTTTCTGAACAGTGGATTTAATAGATTTACCAAATTTATTGCTCAGTGAAGATAAATTTTCCTCACTGTGTTTTAGAGGCAGGCTCACCATCAGATGTACACCACCTTTTTCTCTCCTGGGTTTTATTTCAATTTCTTTATTTTGCGCTGTTACTGCTGCAGCAGCAGCAGTAATGGCAGTCTGGCGACCATTCGCATCTCTCTGCTCTTGTGTGGTCAAGCCGCAACTGATGTATAGCAACCCTGATAGGGCTTTCAAGGTAAGTGAGATATTTAAGGATTACTTTTACCAATTCCACACCCCAAGTGAATTTCCATGGCTGAGCAGATTTGAACCCAGGGCTCCCGAATCTTAGTCCATCACTCTATCCACTACAACATACTGGGTATCCTTTGCCATGCCCTGAGTTTAGCATAATTCTAAATACAGTGGTGCCTCACATTGCGATGTTAATTCATTCCGCAAAAATTCATTCCGCAGAACGAAAACGTCGCTATGCGATATTAAAAAGCCCATAGAAACACATTCAAACCCCTTCATTGCGTTCCTATGGGCTTAAAACTCACCGTTAGCTAAGATCCTCCATAGCGCGGCCATTTTCACTGCCTCTTAAGCAAGGAATCCGTCCCTAAACACAGTGGGTGGCCATTTTGTTTACCCGCCGGCCATTTTGAAACCGCCGATCAGCTGCTTTAAAATCGTCGCTTTACGATGCTCAGTTCCTGAAGCAGGGAACCGAGCATCGCAAAGGGAAATTCCCCCATAGGGAACATCACAAAGCGATCGCTTTTGCGACTGCAAAAAATGTGTCGCAAAGCAATTTCATCGCTAAACGGAGCGATCGCTATGCAAGGCACCACTGTAATCTTTATGTAACACAAATAATAAAGGTGGCCAGATGGGGGGGATACCACTATGCAAAGTGCTTTCTTTATCTGGGTGTGTGTGGAAAAATATCAACCATTTCCTCAGAAAATAAGCTCGCCCCCTGCCCCCGTTTTCAGCATACTTCCAGTATCTAAACACCGACACCTTGCCATAGTTTTATTATCTCTTGTGAGGCTCCTGTTTCATGATGAGATTTGGTACCTGTTATTAGTGCTCTTGAATGTGAGTGGCGTCACACCTCCAGTGAAAAACTTAGACAACCATATTGGCCCATCAGAAGAAGGGGAGGGCGTGGCAGGGGGAACCTTTCAAAAATTCCAGATGGCAAGGACATTTTTAGCACACAACCAACACATCACAAGGGTGTGAGCAAAGTGTTGATTTCTCCAGAGCTCTTAACTGGGTTGAAGTGAGGACAGTTAATCAGGTTGGAGGCATTGAGGAGGGTTAGACAAAGTCAGATGTGATGTGATGTTACTGTCTCAAAGTTCGCAGTCGGTAACAGCCTTAGGCCTAAATCCATTTAGAAGTCCCAACTAGAGTGAACATGTTGAAGCAATAGGATTTACATCAGCAACTGATCAACTAGATCTACTCTGCAGGTACAGATGGAATTAATTTCCCTAGAAGCAAGGGAGGTTTTATAACACAATGAAGGGCACCAAAATAAAGAATTGATCATTGCTATTCCCCTTTGTTTGTGTATATTAATAAGAAATCTAATGGTTATTTTCCATTTCAGGGTTAAAAGGAGTCTTCTCAAAATTGAAAATAGCCAGAAGTCCATTCTGGTTCTGAAAAAAAGCCCCCCTCCATGCCTAGAGCATTTCAGAAGGGAAAACAGCAAAATGGCCCCCACACCACACCCTCTAGAGCAGCCGTTCTCAACCTTTTTTGGCCATGGGCCATGGCCATAGACTGATTTTCAGGAGATGCTTTATTTTACAGTCATGTCATCTTCTTCTGGTTGCTGCACAATGCTGGAGGGCAGGGTTTCACTTAACTACTTTATTTTACTTCAATTAGATTTATACCCCACCCCTCTAGACCAGGTCTACTCGGGGCGGGGTAAAAATCGAATTAAAGTAACTAGGGCTTATTTTCTGGGTAGGGTTTATATTACAAGCATCCTGAAAAATCATCTTAGGGCTTATTTTCAGGTTAGGTCTTATTTTCGTTGAAATGGGGTAGTACTATAAGTCCGTTCACTAACATATATGAGGATTGTATAGGTACACATATGTAGAATTGCAACCAGAACTGAACTGACCGGCTTGCCTTTGCTTTCATTTTACGACTGAGTGACTGGCCATGTCCATCTCAATTGCCTGCTCAGATGAGCTCTGGACCCCTTTAACCTGATGTCTTATTCTAAGATATGGCTACCCCTGCTTGCCCCATTCCTGAATTTCAAAAGCAAACTCCCCTTTTCCACAGCACTGCTCTCAGCCAAGAGAGTATGCTCATAAAACATTGGTTCAGAGAAGTAACAGTACAGGATAGGAATACAGTAGTATAGGATGCAAGTGTGACACCGGGAATTCATGCACTGGCAATGCTGCATTTTCCTAGGTCACAGGCGACAGAATGAGACAGCAGGGAGAGGTACAAGGTTTAGTCTAGGACTACTGAATAGTTTCAGTGGGATTACTGTACTATGGCAACAATAAGATTGGGTTTAGGAGTCCAGTCCTAAAAATACTTGGGAGGAAGCCCCAAGCAACTCAGCAAGACTTAAGATTTCAGCAAAACAAATAAGACTTTTAAAGTATATTTTGAGATTATAAATCAGCCTCTATTTTATTCTAATGGTCATTCTGAACCACATCCAGGCAAACTCCAAACACACACAAAGATAGGTCCCACTGACATATTGTCATCTGGTTTCCAACATTTTGAGAATAATAAGGGGGGAAAAACCCAAACCCAAAGCTGTTTGAATTTTGTTTTATTCAATAGAAAAATTCTAAGTTAATTGCAATACCATTTAAATACATAGATTTACAAATAGGTCCAAAACAGGACTAAAATATTCTTTGAATATTGTGCTTTCATAGATACATAAGAAAATTAGCATAGAAAAATACTTTACAAGGAATACACTCTAATATATGGATAAAAATACACATTTAAGTAATGCATTTCATTTTCATATCATTCAAAATGCAAGGGAAGGGAATAGAAGGACCATATTTTAAAGCCTTATTAAAAGTCTTCATTAAAAACCTGTTTGAAGCCATGTTGAGCTTCTGCCATTTTGAGAATATTGCATATAAAAAAACCCCTTTTTTTCTGCTCTTAATGGTCAATACTCTGCAGTTTCTTTTATGGCACATCATCTAGGTTTATGGCAGCAATGGTATGGATATATTGCATACTTTGTGAAAAGAGAATGGCTACAAATAGAGACAGCCCCATAGGACTCCATGCACATCTTTAAGGGAATCACTGGTACTTTTGACAGGGGCCAAGAATTTAGATAGCAACAAAAGTAAATGGACTCACTGCTTAGCCTGGACTCTGACACGGAAACCAGTCCTGGGAAAGCACTGATCAGTGAAGGTTTCCAACCAGTGCCAAAACACAGCATCTTAATATGCATTGGAACAGTACTAAAGTACTGTAAAACAAAAGGAGTGCAAGGGAAAAGAGAAACTAGTCCCCCAGATTAGGGGTGTTCTCAAATTCCCAAATCAGAGGCTCAATGAAAAATCACAATAAAGTGCTATCCCAGAAACTCATGGGGTGGGCAGTTGGACGGGCCAGAAGGAGATCTGCAAATCCTGGCATTTTTTGCCACGTGAAGAGAAAAGACTACGGCCTTGATCGCCATCCAATCCATTTGTTGTAGGCAGACCATTCGGTGAATGTGAACATCACAGCCATTATCACTACAAGGGCTAGGGGGAGAGGCAGATGCAGGGCTGAGGGTCACAAAGGCCTCACCGTGCTCACGAGCCGTGAAGGAGGAGGAGGAAGAGAGAACCACTGAAAACTGAGGGCTGCTGCTGCCATGGCCAGTTAGTTACACCAGGGTGGGACACATCACCATCACCAGTGAGTGGAAACAAAAGACACACATGTCTGTACTTGCACGAAGATGAGCCACAGCGAGGGCACTTGGGAGATACAATATCAACCTAGCAGAGGACATCTCATGCTAAACAGTGACAAGGGGATACAAGGCTTTCTCCCACCACCACCATCATCATACACAAGGGGAAAAATATATATATATATGGGCAGGGGTGTGTGGGAGGTGAGTGCCTTCAGTTCAGTCACCCACTCATAAGAAAGAAAGTAGGCTTCAGCAAAGAGAGAGCTTTCTGGTGACTTATATGTACTCATAGGATGGTTGGCGGCCCAGGAAAGCAAGCCTTCCACCTGCTGTGTTAAAGTCAAGTGCTTTCAGAAACAGAATCAGTGAAGACAATTTCTGTCTTGAAGTCCAGGAAGTGGTGAACGTGTTTTTGCTGTGTCCCGGAGAACATGGGCCTCAGTTGAGGCAGGAAGAGGAGAGGCCCAAGTGTCTGAGTTTCATCTCTTGTGGGCTCAGTTTTTTGTGAAAATCTGTTTGTGGCTTTTAGAGGGAATGTGGTGTGGCACACTGATCCATCAGAGATTGAGGAGAACTAGGAGTGAGGGAAGATTTCAAGGGTTTGCAGGGGTTTAAGAAAGGGCTGTGGGATAGTACAGGGGATGCCTGCCACAGAAACGAGAGGGGATAAATTTTAAGATCAGCTGTACATGATATAACAAAGCAAACAACAACAAAAATAGCACCATGTATCCAAGCCCTTCAACATTGGGGCAAAAAGTGGTCTGTGCCCTATTCATCCTATGTGCTGGAGAAGCTCATAGTGTGAACAGTAGGTGTCCTTCCTCAGATGAGTCCCACTGGGGGCTGCCTTCTTGCTGTCTGCAGCCAGTTCCACACTTTGTGCTAAGCCGTTCCATCTCTCTCAGCTCAGACCTTCAAGACCAAGATTGATAGCCTTCAAAGGCATGGCTCACTGGAAAGCTTTTCATCATGCCAAGTCACATGACACAGATTAAGGACAAATGTCAGTGCAACGGAAAACTGAGAAGCACAAGAGACACCCATTAACCCAATTTGCCCCACTCAAGGACAGCTGACACAAAATTAACCCGGCCTTCATAGTGTCTGTGTGTTGGTCTTCACTTCCACACCCACCGACTGCTGGCCTGGCAGATCCCCATGATCATTTAGCCGGGCATTGGCTGAAATCAGGGGATTCCGGCTGATGACCAAGTCCAGCTTGTCTCCTGCCTCCGATATTAAAGGGACAGCCAGACAGCAATCAAAGTCCCTTGTTCGAATGCGGTTTACCTGAGGAGATGGGAAAAGATTCATTGTTGGTTAAGGGGAATGCTCAAGGAGAATACACACACACACACACACACACACACACTTATGAGGAGAGCAAATTGGAAAAGCTAGACAGCTCCATCATTATTTTATTGCCTTTTAAAGTAACTTTACCTCAAAATTGATTATTTAATAGAAGTCTACTGTGACACATAAAAAACCCAGACCAAACCAAATCATGGTGAACTATGGCAGAAATATCCAATAAAATTCACTTCTGGCCTTTAACTTCTTGTCGAACTTGAAATATTACGACATTATCGTATCAAACAGTATTATTTTTATGGAACATCATTTCTGATTGTGATCTCATTACGCACATTAAGTCAGAAATTGTGAACTGAGTTCTTGGTGGCCGTTCTATTCCTGATCTGGGATTATGGACTGGGGAGTGGGGACTAAAATACCTTTCACACAAAGCCACTCACCAAATGGTCAGAGACTCCAAAATATGGCATTTTTGTAGTTATACCGGCATTTGGTTGTTACAGTTCCCCATCTACACAATGCTCAGGAGCACTTTATGCAAAAAACAAACAAACACACACACAAAAACCATGGAGCACTGAAATGTGGAATACTCCTGCCTTTCTAAAGCTTGAAAACACCAAGTTTATGGCTTATGGCTATAAAGTTTAAAGATTCTAACTAGAGACGGGGGTATTCGTATTCATATTTGAATACGAATACCCCCGTACAGCTGGGCATAACAGGGATGCGCCCCTCTGGGGCCGGACCATCCACTTACGCTGCTGCCGGCTCCACTCGCCTTCCAATTGCTCTGGAGCTTGCGGTCAGCTACCCACTCCTGACGGAAGGAGGGAAGACGAGTCTCCCTGCCAGGCTGACGAGTGGATAAGAACATGAACACCCCCATCTCTCAATTTAATTTAATTAAAATTTCACAGGGTTGCCAGATAGCAGGTTCAAGTCTCCAGTGAAGCGCGGGACTCGCTGGCTGCCTCTAGGCCATTCACTCTTCTTTTTTAGCCTGACCTACCTCACAGGGTTTTTCTGAGGATAAAGGGAGGAGAAGGAGAATCATGTACACTGTCTTGAACTCACTAGAGAAAAGATGGGCCAGCGATGTAGTGGACAAAGTCAATAATATTGCTTCAGTAGTTAACTTCAACCAATAAATCAGCCGTTAAACATTTAAGTCATGGTAAAAATAGTATAGGGTGTGGATCAAAATAATCCCAGCTGTCAGGTAAGCATTTGAGACATTTAGGAGATTAGAGCCATGGTTCTTATACCTTCTCAGAAGTAACAGCATCTGGATATTTCTTAGTTTCTGTTCCAAATATCCAGGTGGGAGAAGCAGGATTGACTCTTTGTTTTTTGTGACATTTAAAAACAATGAGGAGATCTCAGCAGTTGGTATCTCAAGGACTGAGCCAGAGTTTTGACAGAGCAAAGACCTTTTGCCTTCTCCAGTGCTGCTAAGATTTCTTCCAGTGTCACTTCCTGGGGGACCCAAGTAGGACTCAGATGGGAGGGGATGAGATGGTAGGTCTAGCTCTTCCACATCTGTACCTGGATTAGGACTTTTGCCATGGTTGGCCAACAGATTCAGCCATGCCATTATATAGCACCATGAAACATGTCCTTCACATTACATGCTGGCACCATGCCAGAAAAGGGTTGCTAATCATAATCATTGTGTCAATTTGATTGCAACATATGGAAGCTCTTCCCAGGGTTTTCTAGGTCTGTGGTTTACATTTTCCTTGGGTGCCTGGGACTATGTAGCTTGCACAAGGATACATAGGCTCACTCTTCTCCCAGGAGGAACAGTGAGGAACTGAATTCTTAATCTCTGGCTCCCTATCCAGGAACCAAACTCAGTGGGTTATCTATCATGAGATAGTCAGGGAAGCTATTGCTAATGATTTGTGGGCATTCGCCAACCAAGCTCATGCAAGCACTTTTATCCTACAAGTTTGGAGAAGTCTCTTCCTCTTTTGTTCTGGCTGTGGAGTTGAGAAGATTGTTGCCATATATATTTGGTAACAATCTTCTCAGCTCCACAGCCACACCAGGAATGGTGAACTCCACATTCCACATCAGGAATGGGTAGTTTCCAGATATTTGTTAGCTGCACATCCCCATCCACGGACTTTGGCAAACTGCTTCTGTGACTCTCCCCAGTTATTTATATATACGTTTATGTGTATGTGTATATGTGTATATGTATATGTATATGTATATGTATATGTATACAGTATATGTGTATATGTATATGTATGTATGTATGTATGTATGTATGTATGTGTGTATATGTATATATATGTATGCATATGTATATGCATATGTATGTATGTATGTATATAACTGGGGAGAGTCACAGTAGCAGTTTGCCAAAGTCCGTGGATGGGGATGTAGAACTATCAAATATCTGGAAACTACCCATTCCTGGTGTAGACAGATGTATGAGGAATGTTTGTTTTATTGCTATGGTCACTAATAAATACTTGGACATGTTTCCTTTATTTAAGCTATGCCCAGGGAAGTATTCCTGTGTTATTATACTCATCATTATATTATTTATGACCTATCTGTTTTTCTATCTCCCTTTTAAGAAGATGCTGTAAACCTTTTAGTATGTAATAAAGCTTCTTAGATAAAATCCAGCCTGCCTAGTGCCTATCTGATCTGCAGGTATGCCAAATATCTTCCTTAGAAAGCTTTGAGGGCAGAAGAGGACAATCTCCAGAAATCCAACGTCCGTCCACACACACCCATCCCTGGACCTTGGAGGACCACACTGACACTTGCAACTCCCACCACAATCTTTTTCTGACAAATCTGGGGGGGGGAGTAGTGAAAAAGCCCCTAATGCCTTCTCATAGCGTATTTATAAAAATGGAATTAGTTAGGGAAATATGTGGGCATTTGGGAATGCTGGTAACTCAAAACATTGTCCTATATCCCCTGGATGGTACAAAGTGACTTCCTGAACCATTTTCCCTTGATTTTTGTTTAATTTGGGGGGTTTGGAGGTGCTCCCAGGAAATTAAGGGCTGCATTTGGGTCCCTATCAGCCACATGTTGCCGACTGCTATCTTAGGACTTGGCTTTTTGTTGACCAAATCTCCCAGTGAGAGGAAGGACCCATATTTCCAACAAAGAACACATCCTTCATGCCTGGTGGCCACTTTACTACTGAGTAAATGATACCTTTCATCTCCTTGTCAAGGGGAAGCCAAGGAAGCCTCTACAACTTTTTAGTCAAACTAATCTGCTACATTTTCTGCCATTTAAACAAGTAGCTTTAGGAACCATCTCCAATTCTGCCTTTTCCCAGATGAGAACACAGGTAGCTGCCCTCAGGCTCTCTACCTCAGTACACTGGTGCCGCGCTTGATGATTACCTTGTTAGACGAAAAATCTGTTCCCAAAGCAGGGAACCGATCATCATAAAGCGGTTTTTTTCTATCTAAACATTGTTTTGCAATCGCTATAGCGATTGCAAACCGATGTTTAGATAGGAAAAAAACGCTTTACGATGATCAGTTCCCTGCTTCGGGAACAGATTTTTCACTTAACGACGATCAAAACAGCTGATCGTCTGGTTTCAAAATGGCTCCCCACTGTGCAAAATGGCTCCCTGCTGTGTTTTAGGATGGATTCCTCACTATACAGGCACCGAAAATGGCTGCCCTATGGAGGATCTTCGCTGGATGCTGAGGTATTTCACCCATTGGAATGCATTGAACCGGTTTTCAATGCATTTAAATGGGTTTTTTACTTTCGCTTGACGACGATTTCATTCTACAGCGATTTTGCTGGAACAGATTATCCTCATCAAGTGAGGCACCACTGTACTGTCAACAGTGATTTGCAACAACTATCCAATGGGTTCAGGCCAGTGCCTTTCCTAACCCCACCTTGGAAAGCCAAGGCTAAATCTGGGACGGTCGACCTTTCGGGTAGGATTTTTCATAAAAACATGTTCTTTTTATCAGACACAGATCTGTTGGGGAAAAGCTCTTAATAACTCCAGTGATGTGTAGGGATGTCAGGAGCTTATTCCAAGAGATCACAGGGATAATGAGTTGGAAAAGGCTGCCTGAGTTCATTAAGGCAGCTCCAGGTCTTATGGAAACGATGGTGTGGCCTTTTCCTAAGGGGTGTCCATGCACAGCTCATGGAAGCATTGCTCAAGTCCCCTTTGAATTTAGGGCACTTGTAGAGGCCATTAAATTGCCAGACTTCAGAAGAAACATGGCTGACAGCCTAATTAATTTTTGGTCCCACCCCAGGCCATTTTTCGTTTCTTTCTGCCCATTTTTTCATTTGAGGTGGCAAAAGAACAACTGGAAAGCAGGCCCGTTGGCTGGGGCCCAGAACAAGCACAAATGAGGCTCCCAAGATGGCTGCCAGGTTTTCTGCAACCAACCCAGCATGTGTGAGAGTTAATTTTGGCACAGCTGGTAGATGCTTTTAAATGGCTTCCCAACTTCTGAGGGGGAAAGGGAGAACAGCTTCAAGGCTGGAGGGTTGGAGCAACTGCCTCCAGGGTTTTAGAACTGGACAGCTGCCTCACAAAGAGCTAATGAAAACTGTCCTCTTCAGGAGGGTCTACTGAAGGTGCCAGTAGCTATAGCTCTCTGCCAAGGCACAGACTCTGCATGCACAGAGGCCCCACCAGACGTCATTCCCAGAATCTCCAGATAGGGCCTGGAAAGAGGTTGTTCTGAAACCTAGAGGGCCAATGCCAGTTGGTGTGGGCAGTAATTGAGCTAGGCAGACCCACAGTGTAAGGCACAGCCTGAACCTAGTGTCTTCCCTGCCCCCACCTTGGATGTACTTAATGATAATATTTTTGTGGGCAGAAGGTCCTGGGTTCAATTCTTTGCACTGGCAAAGAAGATACAGAAATACTCCTGCCTGAAACAGCAAATGACTCTTGATGGTTCAGTGTCAATCATCCTGGGCTAGACAGAACAAGAATGAGATTCAAAACAGGGCAGTTTTCTATGTTCCTAGAATTCCCATCATTCCCAGCTGATCATCCTGGCTGCAGGGTTCCTGGTTGAAGAAGGTTTGTATCAGATAATTGCCTATGTTCTCATTTGTTGTTCATCCCCCATGAGCTGCTGGCAGAAAGAGGGGATTTCTGCCTTCGTCATAGTTGCAAAGGTGTACTGCAAGAGGGAAAACCCTTCTGAAAATAAATCTATTCACTATAAATCCCTTTTCACTATGATAACTTGGGATGATTACCTGAAGGACTCTATCATACGGCTTGAGTCCACACTGATCAGCAGGTCCATCGGGACGGATCATATTCACATAAACACCTTTTTCCAGCAAGCCATCCGAGACACTAAATCCAAAGTCTTCAGTCTCTGGATCCTTACAGATGGTCATCTATAGGAAATGATAAGCCTCATTTAGTGTGAACAAGAAAAGAAAACAAGCCCACAAGGCACAAACCCATTAGGATTGTGAAGCTTTCACCAGTTTGGATAGTTGGATGATTCTCCTGCACATCCCACCATCGGACTGATTCTACTGATTCCTGGAGAGCTTTGAATTCAAACTCCTGATAAGTCCAGATCCCGGTATTCCACTACCACTCAGCTTGACCTGCCTTACAGGGGTGTAACAAATATAATACCAAAGAAGGAGGCATTCAATCCAATCAAGCTGCTCTGAGGTCCTTGGAGGAAGGGCAGAATATAAATGCCCAGACACAAATTGAAAAAAAAAAGTGAGATACTGAGGGAGGGGTTTCTTTTTAATCAGTAAAGCATCCTGATCCTTTAAAAAGAACAATACCTCTTTCATCCTAATTAGAGAGGAAGAGGGATTAAGCTAATATGCACAACAAAATAGTGCCATTCAGGCATGCTCACTCACAATGATGAAGAATCATATCACAGGGAGATGCACTAAAGAGTATTTATGGACATGGAGGGGCAATAACAGGGTGAGGGTATGCCTGTGTCTGACCTCAGGCTCACTAGGCTAGGGGTGAGCAACTTCTGCTGGTCCAAGGAACATTATTCCCAGCCTGGAATCTTGCTGGAGGCTATCTCCAGCAGCTGCAGAATTTGCTCCTGTAGAGAGATACTAAGGTTCCCAAGCCTTTTGTAAAAAGTTAAAAGAGGACATTTAAACTATCAATGCAAGAACTTCAAAATCAAGACACTACTAGTCTTCTTTCACAGTCAAATAGTATGTACTCTGGGAGAATCCCAGAAATGCTGTTTTCATTGAAAGCAAAGCATGTGCTTCATCCAGCTAGATTTCCCCCCCCAGATTTCCCCCCCACATGTAAGCTTTCCAAGCATGCATTTATCTACCTGGCTCCAGCTCATTACTATGGTTATTTCAAAACAACATTATTCATTAGGCAGATAACTCCCAGAGACCTCAATCTCTGCGAGAGGCTTTCGCTCCTTGGCAGTGGATAATCGGTAACTGTTACCCTCTTTAACCTCTGTCTTTTAAGAATGCACAGGATAGCAATTTTGGCTTCAAAACCCCAACATTCCAAGCAGTGCTGGGACAAGGTGGGCGCCAGGTCTTGGGCAAGAAATTCTTTACAGGGGGGATCACCTCCTCAACACCCCCATTCACTTGTTTTCCTCTTTTGGGCCCAATCCACACGCTACTAGTGTTGCACGTATACAGCAAGCCAAGAGGCTGGGCTGAAGAAGCCAGAGACACTTGGGCAATAGCTAACCAAGCAAGGAGGAGGATCAAGAAAAGAGCACCTTTTCCTGAAAGGGGACAGGGCATCGCCTGGAGATTAGATAGGATACAGAACCACAGAAAGGAGGCTGAAGAGGGACAAATAAAACCTACCTCTCCCAAAGGAGAGGAAAAACAGAGAGGGCTTTTTCTCAGGCCTTGTCTGTCATCCAGGTGTTTGCTTTCTGAATTTTAATGTATAAATTAATGACTGAGGAACTCACCCTGACTTTTAAACAAGATGAAGCTTGTGATGTTTTATCAGCCAGGAAGCTGGCCATGATGAGGGACTTAGTGCTTGGCTGGGTCCTTGCTGGTTTGCCTGAACCATATACTGTATTGAAATTAAATTGCAGAAATGGGCACAAAACAAAGTCCTGGATTCTCTCTGAATCCTCAAACAGTATAAAAGTGGCAAAAGAGGGGAAGAGGTGAAGCCTCTTTACTGAGCGGGGAGCTAACTCTTTCAGAAGCAAGTGAGTGCAGGAGAGAACATGCAGAGCAGACAGACTGACGCCCTTGGTAAGGGCAAAGAATTCATTTTGAAGAACTTGGTTAGAGGGCACAGTTTCTTTCCCCAATACAAAAGGAAATGAAGGAAGGCAGATCATTCCGCCAGGGCCGTTAAGTGAAAAACAAAACACGGCAGAGTGCAGGAAGCATAGGATCGGCACAGATGACCAACCTTAGGGAGCACTCACGGAAAGCTGCATGTTCCATGCAGGTCCTTTCAGCGTGCTCTGCACAATGTTTTCCTTATTAGGCTTTTAAATCGGCCAATAATAAATGGGTAGACAGTGAGGCTTGATGGTACTTGGAACTAAATTCAAATTTCTTTTCTCCAGTACGAAAGCATAACTAAGAGTTTCTCCACCACTGGGCATATTTTGTTTTACTCTCCTTGTACTCATGACACCACTACTTTCCCCACTGTCTAATACAGGACTGAAAATAGCCTCAGAAGGGCAAAGCAGCAAGAAAACATGTACTGTATATACGTTTCAAGTTTTTTGCACAGCATCATTGGTGAGTGGTGATGCATTTTTGTTCTACTTTACTCTGATTTGCTTCAGTGCACAATCTGCTCATGTGGACCCTACTGCTGCATTGTTCTGTGTGGATCCACATACTTTCTGGGGGTTTGTCATTAAATGGCACTCTCTTATGTATGCATTTCAATGGGTCAATCTTCAACCCTTTGTGCCCTATCATCATTCCTACCCGTTCTGTTTCCGTTTTCACTTGCAGGGTGGGGAAGGGAGGAGATTCCTGTAGTGGGACACTCATAAAGATGGTTTTGAAGCTCACTTTCCTGGTGACTCTTTTGCTCTCTCTCTCTCTCTCTCTTACTCTCGCTAAAAGAGTACTGATTAAGGGAGATGGCTCTTCCTATTCTCAATCCATAGACGAGAAATGCAAACAGGAGGAGGAGGAGGAGAAGGAAGGCCAAAGATTTGCAGTGAGCCTAGCTACTAATACTGATGATCAGCTGAAAGGCACCACAGTCATTGACTACTAAGCTAACACTGGGAGGCAAAGTCAACACTGTTATAATAGAGATCATGCCATCATACATCATGTAAATGTCTTTTGCTAAGTCGCAGGTGCTCACTGCCCACTAATGACATTGTCGCTGTGATGGGCAAAACACAAGCAGAGGAATTACACAGCTGTAAGAGATAGCAGGGGGGCAGTTAAGAGGAAGACCTGTGATGAGGACAATACTATGGATTTCATCTGTATCTCTAGTCCTCTGTCTTTGGGGGAGCCCAATGGAAATCACAGTGTAAAATAATCTGAACATGAGCAGCGAAGGGTGCACACAGTTCACACAGGACAGACACATATTTTGCAGTCAGGTGTGGGCATGCAAACATTTAATACTGGCGTAACTCCGCCCTTGGAAGAGTACTGTTTTCCTCTTCCCAAGATCTTTCCTCTGCTATGAACAGCTGTGTTTTCAAGAAGCCCTGGGAGACAATGCCCATCCTAAGACTTCCATAGCAACGGAGGAAGTGGCATTAAATCAAGTCATGATAATAGCTTGCCCAGCTCCATGCTGTTTATGCTGGGAGGGAGCAGCCCCAGAGGGACACAGCCAAAAGTCTTTTGCCACCCTAAAGAGAGGTGCTGTGGATGAAACATGTACGTATGTGTCGGGCGTATGCTCTGTCGCAACCTCACCTATGCTTAAGCCCAAGAAACAGAAGCATTCATTGGAACATATTAACCACACAACCCACTCACAATGGTTTTCCTTCAAACAAAACCAACATCAAAAAGGGCTTGTTGTCTGTTTTGTTGTTTTGTGCTGTATCACTCATTAGTGTTGCTCATTCTCATGCCTAAGTTTTAAAAGGTTGTTCCTTAAGGGTAGAGGTAGGCACGGGTGGTCCTTTGAACTCATTTTTTTGTTTTTTTTGCTACCAATGGTCTCCAGGGATATTCCCAAAGTGAAGTGGCGGGGGGAGGAAAACCAGAAAAATATGAATTTGCTGGAGTCCTCCAAAAGATATTTTTGGTTTAGGAGCCATCCCACCCCTCAAAAAAATAAAAAAAACAAAAAACCCTAAAAATTGAAAAGCTCATCTGGGCACTTTTAAAAATCTGTTTACTAATTTAAAGGGTCCATACCAGCCATTTACATGCTTCACATGGCCTGTGGCTTATCCACCCAAAAGATATTTTTGGTTTAGAAGCCATCCCACCCCTCAAAAAATAAAAAAAACAAAAAACCCTAAAAATTGAAAAGCTCATCTGGGCACTTTTAAAAATCTGTTTACTAATTTAAAGGGTCCATACCAGCCATTTACATGCTTCACATGGCCTGTGGCTTATCCACTCTTGCTTTAGAAGTCTTGATTCTCACGACTTCCCCATGTACACAGAGGATGTGGCCATGCTAGCTCAAGGGATTCTTGGAATTGTAACCCAAAACGAGGAGAGAGAGAGTGAAATAATTTGTGTGGGAGGGGTTCCAATACAATAAAATAAAATGTGACTGTCAATCAGGCCAAGTATTTTCAAGCCGCAGTAAAAGCAAACGATAAAACTTATTGCACTTTCCCCTGGTTCCCCTGAGCAGCAGTAACAAAATAAAGGCCTGGTTTCTAAGCACGCCGGCCAAAATCCTGTTGCCTAAGTTACACCTCTGGAAAGATGAGGATGTCACTGTCAGGAGGAGATTTTTCAGTAATTAAAAATTCTTTATTCTTTGCTTCTATCCCACAACTTGTGCGACTCACAAACAATCAGTTCCACTGTATGGAAACTGGCTTCTGCTGGTGTAACAGGATTTGGTTTAATGTTAATAAATCAAATCATCCTTTTTCCAATTCACATGATATGATCATTTTTCTTACCAATGTGCTGTCGCAATTGGATTTTTTTCCCCAGAGAAAAGATGCTTGAAAACTAATAGACTTCCTAAAAATGGTAAACGTGAGAGGTCACAGCTCAGAAGCCGCACCCATAAGAAGTGGTCATCAGATGAAACTGGGAAGGCAAAATAAAAGCGAACACGGGAACTGGCTCTTAGATTGCTCTCTTCCATCTGCCCTGACAAATCATGACCAAAAAAAAGGTCATGGCAATGCCCTCTCTGATGAGTTACTCATGCTTTGCGCAAATATAGAATTGTGTAAGACTCAGGAAACTACTTCCAAGGTAACACAGTAAATTGGTAAGTTTATAATTAATCTTCAGCTGGCTGGATAGCTCAGGGTGTTAAGTATCTGGCTGCAGAGCCAGAGGTGGGGAGTTCAATTCCTCCACTATGCATCCCAGAAGAGTCAGCCTGGGTGACCTTGGGCACAAGTCCAGAGCACTTCCAGAAGAAGGAAATTATAAACCACTTCCAAATACTCTCTACCTAAAAAACCATATTTAAATAAATATGGGGCGCCATACATCAGAATTGACTTGATGGCACACATATTTAAATAAATATGGGGCGCCATATTTAAATAAATATGGGGCACACAACCAACTATAATTAATCTTACCTTTAAAACCTGTAATTGGAGTGGGAGAGAGATAATTCCAATTTCACACAAACTACCTTATTAGCAGACTCCGGAATGAACTTTCTACTATGTCAATAGAAGAGTTTGATTTTTAACTACCTGCAACCTTTGGGCAGAGGCAGGGGCCATCACAAGCATGCACAGGAGGTTAATGGTTTGCATGCCATTGCTATTAAGCAAGATTAGATATTCCTGATAATATTGCAGGCATTTGTATGTTGACTCTGCAAGGCTGCTCACAGGCTTTTCAGACATGACAGTGAATGATACCCTCAGGTTACGCTCAGGATTCAAATGCTTGGGTCCCCTCCCACCAAGTAAAATGGATTTGAGCTTGACAATACAAGACATGGTGGAAATCCCCACGTTAACCTCTCTTTTTCAAGACTGCCAATCATCTTATATGGTTGGCAGATACACATCCACTTGTATGCAGTCAGAGCAAATTGGTAGCAGCAACACAGGAATTCAGGAAGCAATCTTTCCCACCCTAGCAGAAGCTGCCTGGGAGTGAATCAGGTTCCTCTTAACTAATGCTAACAAAGGAATTATGGAAAACAGCTCAGTCCCCAACAGCCACCACTACCACAAATGAAACATCTCATTTACTTTGGTCTTGTGCTTAAAAGCATCTTCTGGGTCATTTCCCCCGAAAGGCCTTTATAAAAATTGTTCAGGGTAGATGAACGTTAAAACCAGGAGTGGATACAATAGACCTCCAATGTTGGGCTCCAGTGTCACAAGCCTTAGTACAGTCAGTGGGGACAGAGGCCGGGAATTGTCATCTGAAGGGTCTGACCTTGCCCATCCTTTGGTCAAAGGCAAGACAAAGGCGATCCACACACACCTTGTGCAGCTCAAGAGGAGTGGGAGCCAAGATTTCCTGGATCTCTTCCTTCATCATCTTCAGCTCTAGATTCCTGTCATTCTTCTTGGTGGGAGTGCCGTTGCTGTTTCCCTGCCCTTCACTCGAGCTCTTGGGATTGCCTTTCCGTGGTGGGCTCAGCCCTGGCTGGTTCACAGAGTTTATAAGCAACTTGCCCCCATCAAGGCCCAGATTGTGGACACTCCCAGTCATGATGGATGCCTGTGTGGGAAAGAAAGAACAACCGTAACCCAACTAACCCCAACAGAAGAGGAGGAGGAGGAGGAGAAGAAGAAGACAACTTTGCTAAGCTGGCATGAACATGAAAGGAGTCCCTTGAACCTTAGATAGGAAATCGGAATTATGGGGGGTAAGGATTCTTCCCCTTGTGCCCTCCTATATGCACCGTGCAGCTCATGGGCTACCTGATCAGTGACTGGAGACAGCAATGACTGGGGACAGCAGAAACTCTTTTTATAAGGGAGGCTCCCCAGGCATTTTTTTGCAATCTTCAAAGCCACCCTGGGAGTCTCCTACACTGAAAGAGTTTAAACTCTCCGTTGCTGTTTTGGTTTAAAAAAATCCCATTACTGCTCCTATATGCACCGTGCAGCTCATGGGCTACCTGATCAGTGACTGGAGACAGCAATGACTGGGGACAGCAGAAACTCTTTTTATAAGGGAGGCTCCCCAGGCATTTTTTTGCAATCTTCAAAGCCACCCTGGGAGTCTCCTACACTGAAAGAGTTTAAACTCTCCGTTGCTGTTTTGGTTTAAAAAAATCCCATTACTGCTGCTCCTNCGTTTGTTGCAGTCCATGGTGGGGATGGAGAGAAAAATTTGGTCCCCAAGCCACTGATGTTGCCCACCTCCGTGCTCTGTGAGCTGGTTGACATCAGGATATGGCCATACCTCCTGTTGTTATTTTTAATTTTCAGCTGAGTACACCACCAGTTTTGCTATTTTTCCTCTCTGCTCTTTGCACAGGGAGTATTTGTTGCAGTCCATGTTGGGCTTCCACATGGGGCTGGGCTTTTGTCCTCTTCTGACTTTCCTACATGAGGGAAGGAGAAGCAAAACTGGTTTGTTTTTTTAATTTTCAGCTGAGTGCACCACCAGTTTTGCTACTTTTCCTCTCTGCTCTTTGCACAGGGAGTAACAAGGAGGACTGAAGTTCTGCTATCTTCAATCTCTGATCAGAGGCGGTGTGAATTCCCTTCATGCTAAGCTCCTAGGACAGGTCTTATGCATGGATAGTTGGGAGCTTTTGGTCAGAATTGGCCCAAAGAGACATTTACAGGCTGGATGAGGAACCTTTCAGGCTGAACTGGACCTCTGGGGGTGAGGCTCCCCTCCTCTTCCCTGCCTGAAGTCTGTCCTTCTCCCATGAAATGCCCAGTACTGTGCTGTAAACATGACTAAAAAGTAATCCTTCATTGCCCCAGCTCTTATAAATATCAGGCATCTCCTCATCCCTCTTTCAAGAACAAACATAAACCAAAATGAACTAGGAGAACTTCAGCTGCCAAGATAAACAAAGGCATTCAGAAAAGGGAGGAAGGCAACACTGCTCAATACACACCTCAGACTTGCTTGCTACAAGAGGCTGTTGAACGGCCATTTTGGCCACAGCTGCAAGTCATATGGCCTGGTAACACAAACCAGCTCTCCCTCTGGCTTAGCATGTGATCTGAGTTTTACTGGAATACAGGCACCATCCTTCCCCTTGTGGGACTATATAAAAACCCAGCTTCTCAGATGGGAAAACCTATACAAATTGTTCTGAGCAGTGGCACTTTGGACCCGACAGGCAAAAACTGATCAGGATTCACATAACTCTATGAATCAGTTGTCGAGAAGCCAAAAAGTAGAAGGGTGCTGTTGTTGCGCTCCTTGCCTGCTTGTGGCCTTCCCAAAGGCATGGAAACAAGGTGATGGACAAACAGAGCATGCTAAGGCATGGCTCTTCTTCTTATGCCTTAAGGCAGAAATTTACTAGCAGAGGTAAGCAATGGAACAGGTAGACCACTTCTGCTTTCTGAAAGGTTAATTTACCTCAATTTCTCTTAAAAGTTCAGACTGGCCGCATGTTTCCAAGTCCTCCAAAGCTTCTCCAAAAACACGCCAAAAATTATCCTCGTGGGCAGTCTCAAGGCCATTTTGGCGGTTGGGATATCTGTTGTAACGTAGGAACCAAAGATTGTCAGCACTCTTCTGGAGCAGGACGGAAGCCGCAAGGGCGACAGCAAGTGGCTCGCCAGTAAAAGCAGAGAGACTTGGCAGAATCTTCATATACAAATGCAAACAATATGAGCTTTTTTCAGGCAAGAAAAGAGAGTCCAAATACAAAACCTCCATGCACTTTCACTAACAGGGCAAAAGTCTTTCCAAAGGAAGAGTTAAACCGGTGCGGTAAATGTCACGTTCAACAGGGGAAATAAAAAGTGCCTGTAGGAAGATTGTAGGTTTAAGGAAGACGTTTTGGTGAAATAGAGAAGTAAAAGAAAAAAAGGATGCATTATGGGTAAACCAGGAGCCTCAGAGACTGTTAGTACAAAGGCGGATGGGACAGAGTTCAGATCTGAGACACAGAACACCTGAGAAAAGAGAGAAAAACACAGAGGGTAACAGACATGGTGAGAAAATGATAAATACATCAGGTCTCTGTGGAAATATATAATGAAAGAAAGATGTCTATAAAATGATTTCCCTTAGTCTAGGCAAATATTTAAACAGTCTATACTAACTGCATACAGCAACTGAGCAGGGGCCTCTCTGGAGTCCGTTCCCCTTACCTCTCATTTTCATGGGTCACTGCACTTTTAATATTTTAAATTTCTGTTGTCCCTTCCTATGATAAGTAGAAGGGAAGAGTCTCTCCTGGAGGAGTGAAAAAACTGATGCTTGTTAAAATCCACCCCCTGCTTTGCAATCAGTGGTTAAGTGGTTATATATAATGGCTAGTTCCCCATATATTATTCCACACTCAAAAATCCTGTCACGCTGTGGTGTGGCCAACAGACAGATTCTGAGATAGGTCTATTCAGACAGAACCAAGTTCCGTTCTCAATGGCTTCAGTTTAAATGACTGAGTTCCCTTGTGGAGGTTAGTGGATTCATTTGTTCCTGCATGATGTCTTCAAAAACCAATAGTTGTGACTAATTATTGGTGTGGGAGGAGTGGAGAAAGCTCTGCGCCTAGGGACACTGCATTAGGGCACTGATTGCCTGCCTTCGGAGACAGGAAGGCCGCAGGGTGCTCCTTTGCATGCACACAAGCAATCCTCACAATCGGAAATTTTGCTAGCAATTTTGCTGGTAATTACTTGTCAGCACATAATTGCTAAGTGCAAGACAGCAACGCTGTGGTCTCACTCCCCCAGGGGAAGTCACTCCACTGGATGTTTTGGTGTCACTTCTGAGATCTCTACAGAGAAAACGGTAATTAAAAAATGAACTAAAGTCATATGAAATGATTTTGGAAATTCATGCCAAGGAAAATGATTGCTGTTTTAATGGGTCAACACTACAAAGAACTGTGACACAAACAGAGGGAATGTTGAGTCGAGGGTTGGGTTTTTGCTTTTGGACAACTGCCTTCTCTTTTGGTCTTCCATCCTCACCCCCTTTCCTTCATCTCTTAAGACAGGAGAGCTCTTGAGCCCAAGGGTGCTTTTGTTTTTATGCCAAGAGAGCCAATGCTGGCACTTCAGCCTCCCACCACAAACGGCAGCAAATCTAGTGGGCTCAGGTAGCCTGGGTGCATGGCAAAGATTGAATGGTCAAAGCAAGTGGCCAGTCCATGCCTCTGCCTGGTCCAATGGAAGAGGCATGGAAAGACAGAACTGTGGCAAGCAGTTAGGAGAGCAGCAGAGGATGAGTTCCTGGGGGTATCGGGGCAAACTGATTCTGGCCACCCGGCTACCACACAGAATTTATGTCAATATCTCCCAGTCAGAACTTGCAAATTAACAAGATTAGCCTGGGTATCACCATTTTTTTCTGGTAAACAACTACCGCCTCTTTCTCCCCATTCAGGTAATTGTTTCATAACTGCCAATTAAGCACCGAAACCCACCATTCAGATTTTCCCCGAGAGGAGGAAAAGTCTGATGTGCTTCCTCTTAGCATTATTTAAGCAGCTTCTTAAGGCAGCTGAATTTAGGAAATTATTATTTATAGTAATGCCAAGGTGAACATATGAATCAGTTCTTAGATCGGTGACACTAGGTGACTGCTGATCTGGCTCTGGGTTCAAAGCCTACTGTGTGCCACTATAAGAGGAGCATTTTTGATGGCACAAAAGGATCCATGATTGCAGTAGTTGTATGCCTGCTAATAATTAACACAAAGAGAAGTAAATAAACAAAACAATATAAATTGACATTGTATGTATAAGCATACATCCTAAATTGCCTATATTACCTAGGTCATTAACATGCCTAGGAAATCAAGATAGCCTTTCAGTCGACACTCAAAAGATCAAATGCAGATTATATATTAAAAGAATTGTTATTTCCCCAGAGGATATCCTATGCTAATGAAACATGAATCTGGACCTTAAAAAAAAAAAAGGCCAGATGCTGATTTCAAAATGCTGATGGTGTTTTAATCAGCTATTTACAACTACACACACTTATCAGAATACTCTGCCATTCCATGTGCTGTTCAATTAATTTCTCAAAACCCGAGAGCACCCGGTCTCTCTACTGCGTTTCCTTTAAGTCCAAGAAGGTATAAAGAGGCCTGAATGTTTTTCAGGAGAAATTCATTTTTGTTTATGCTTAAAACTTTGGGGAAGTTTTTAAGTCAAAGTAAGTTTGGATGAAACACTGCCAACAGAAAAATGTGGTCCATTCTGTATTAGCAATACAAGATTATCTACCCATTTGTGCTAGATGCTGGCTCGTTTCACAGCTGCTATCTAATAGCTAGTGGAGGGAGAGAGGACATTTCATAGCATTTTTCACCACTAACCAGCAATCCCCATCATACATAAGCATGCTCCATTCTTGCGATTCCTGGGAACGCACACTCACGTCTATACCTTCCCTCAGTTTCTTACAAGCTTAACATACCTGCTGGGCTTCTCCCAGTCATCCTCACTGAAACTGCCATCCATAAAAGGGTAGCTCTTTCTGGGGTCCCCAGGAGGGGTGCTACTCTTCTGTCGGCTGGATCTCCACTCATGAGGATGAAGAGCAATACCAACAGCCTGTGGTAAGTATGTACCTACTGAGATAGCACAGAGAGGAGAAACAAAGACAGGAAGATGACTGCCTTTTTGTGTGTGTAGATAATCAGGCAGATGCACTAAAAGAGGGAAAGGTAATACAGTACAATGGGAATATCATTTAACAGAGCAACATTGACTCATTTTTTGGTGTGGCTAAGTTAATAGACTTCCTGTATCAACATGTATTTTTCCATTTTTGGGGACAATTTTCATTGTGTGCAATCTTCAGAGCTTCTGGTCATGAGTGGATGAAAAGGAGCTATAAGAGGTTGGAGGAGATACAACAGGAGGGGTTTTTTTCCACAATTTGTTCAAGCCTCAAAAGGAAACAGAAGTCCTCTTCCAAATTCCAGTTGCTTTCTTTAAAAGGTCATTATAGCATTCATGGCTCATTTGAAATATGGTTCCGGAGGAGAGATTTGCAGATACCCAGGGCTGCCAGAAAGAGGAACAAGAGCAAATCAAGCCAGAACTATCTCTGGAGGCAAAAATGATGAAACCGAGGCTATTGGGAAAGGTTGAAGACAGCGGGAAAAGAAGAAGACTTAATGCCAGTTTACAAGAGCTGAGCAAGGCTGTTGAAGACAAGGATACTTTGGAGATCGCTCATTCATAGAGTCGCCATAAGTCAGAGGAAGCTTGACTGCATGTAAAAACAAAAACATACTTTAGAGATACACTTGTCATCAGGAGTCTCAACAAGTGCTGTAAAAACTGAAATATAGCCTTGCTGGTGAACTCTGCTCCCTTACAGTGGAAAGTACCAGAAAGCAGTTCCCCTTTAACCTTTAATTCTTGTATTTGTGTATTTTCTGTAAGTCCAGGCTGATCTTTGTAAAGCCAGTCGGGGAAATAGGAGGCAATTTAGAAGTCAAAATCAGACTGGTGACATCATCTTTTTGTCCAAATTCAGACAAACCAGATTCGTATCAGGATTCAAAGGCTTGCCTATGCAAACAGTCGAAGCTTAAAATGCAGAAACTATGCTTTACAAGCAGTCTTGCAGCTTTTCCACATCCTGCTTCAGACAAATCACTTCTATTTGTCCCTAAATGATACTATGTTACAATAGATAAGTAAACACAAATCAACAAGCAAAATGCTGAACAACACACAATTGATACAAGTGAAACACAAATAATGTGCATACTTCTTTACACAAATCAAACTAGGATTACAATAACAATGCTTGAAGGCTATATAGACCACTTAAACCCATATATTACTTTACAGGTTAAAAGAAAAAAGAAAGCACAACTAAAGGAGGTCAAATGCAGTAATTCAGACAACACATTATATTTCATTTTGTTGAATCTTATCAGATGCAGTTTATGTGTTACATCATTTTATAATTGCTTTCCTTCTACCCATGTAGTTATGCCGGAACTTTTGGGTTGGTATAAACCACTAATATTAGAATCTTAGAACTGCAGAGGCTGGAAGGGACCCTATGAAACATCACGTTCAGCCCCTCTCAAGCGGGGAATCAAACTCCCAACCTCTGGTTCCACAGCCAGAGAGCTAAACCACAGCATTACCCTGACAGTTGGCTTGAGTCAGAACTCTGACCCAGAAGTCTGTGAGACAAAGCAGCAGCTATTGTAGTTTTGTACAACATGTGCATCTTAAGCAATCTGGAAGGAAAAAGAGAGTCAAATCAATAGCCCAGAAAACATTTCAACCTTTTGCACGGCAAGGAGGAAATGAGACAGCAATTCCTTGTCCTTGCCTGTGAGGACGAGACAACCAAGGCTTACATCAATAGTGGAAGCATCACAGTGGAAGGCATATTGAGGCCAGATCTCTCATGGATGGTAATAATCTCCAACATAGATTTTGCCTTTCCTACTGCTGTTGCATGCTGTGCTGACATTTTCATCAAACCACTGTATTCAAGTCCTTTCGATCTGCACTATCAACACCGATTTACTGCAATCCAGATTCATGAAAACTAATACAAACTGTCCACTTACAGTGGTGCTACCCAAAATATATACTACAAATGTGCATGCATGCACATGCACACATGCAAGTCTGTATGTACATATGTTCATACTCCTCCCAAGGGGAAGCCATTTCCCAAAAATGATAAGAGCCAAAAACCCAAGAACACAAACTTCCCAAACGTCTGCTGAATGACAGAATGGAAAAATTCTAGTTTCAACACAATGCTGTCAGCGCCATGTTTTGCTGCCGCCTTCTTTTTCTTCTGCTTTTTCTTTGCCAAATTTTAAAAAAGGAGCTGATGTTTGCACCATCTTATAGTTCATGGGTTATTTAAGCATGTAGGTCATATTGATACCTTTAGTGTGTTTTTAATTTATATATGGTAGATATTAGATGTAGCTTTTGCTTATGGGTTCTCTTTTTCTCATAGTTTATTAGCAGGCACACATCCATTTGGAACAGAGGCCAAATGTGAGGGATTTCACAGCCATTTATTTAGCAGGTTTTGAAAAACACCAAACAAACTGTCTCAAACCAGGCCTTCAACTCCCACCTTCATAATATTCACTTGTGCTTTCTTGGAAGCCTCCTTTTGCCCTTCGGTGAACCATTGCACATTTCTACAGATACTCTCTGCCAAAGAGGCCAAATGTGACCATGGAATGATAAAAAAACTTTCATGGAAAAGGCCAAATAAAATGCCACTCATTCCTTTGAAGACAACAAAGTCCAGTCCTGCCCCCCAGAGGAATATTTGTATATATTTAATGATCATTTCTGTAACCGAGATTAAAGCGCATGCCCATGGCCACACGCACGTTACTGACAGACCCAACTCTCCTTACCGGTTATCCAAGCTTATGTGAAGAACTATGGCACCAACGTACACATTGCTGCTGACTATTAGACAGAACTCAGCCTCTTTTATAGTCCTGCCTTAGTCTAAGACCTCAGGGTTAGTGCAATACTGAGGGCTTATTGTAAGAACTGGTAATTCGTTAGGTGATAAAAGTGACCTATTCTCTTTAGAAGTGTTATCAGTGTAGATTCTAACGTCCTTATGCTCAATTATGTATAATAAATACATGTATGTATAAAAAGCATTTATACAACTCTGAGGGCATATACACCATGGCAGGTAAATCAGGTTAATGGGCAGAGGAAAGATGCCTTTTAGGAGGTCAGGGCAAAAACTGACTTGGCCTGGATCGCTGTACTCATAGCATAAGGCCTCCAGTGGCCAGTCAACACTAATGTCATGACCTCAACAGTCTATAAGGAGATATTATTTTCCCACTATGTACAGATTTAGCACTGTGGCTGAATTGTGTCCAAAGTTCTATTTGGCAATATTTTCAAAGGTTTCCTATAGTCTGACAGACCATACTGTGGAATTTCAGGGACACTCTCTAAAAATCTATGATGGGTTCCAGAAGCCTCCCGTTTTCTATTTGGGCTGCTTAAGTCCATCTAGAGCCCAGGAGGGCCTGTTCTTGCACAAAATATAGTCCACCATTTCCTTATTCTTTTTCTCAACTATTTTCCCTTCCCATATCACTGTTAAAAAACGACTCAAATGTTTCAGGCAGTGTTTCTAGCATAATCCTAAATTCCCTTCCCCACAAACCTATCCTCATTGAAAAGAATAAAAAATTAGAAACGGAAATGTTTCAGGTATTGTTTCCTGCATTCAAATTGCTTTGCACATATCATTTTGTAGTAGCATGTATACACAACAATTGTGTAAAGAAGGTCAGTGTTGTGGATGGGAGACTGAAGCTAAGAGAGAGAGAGAGAGAGATGAGATTTGCCCAAGACAACCAAATCATTTCATATAGAGGTGAAGCTCAAGCTGCTGAGGTCTCTTGATGCTGGTGCTTAACTGTGGCCTTGTAACAATGCTGAGAAGAGCAGGAGGAAGACGCCTTATATAGCTATTTTTCTTGTCTGAATGGGAGAAGTTCCACTGTGGGAACAGCTCCCTGGCTTTCCAAAGACGCGTCACATTTGCCTAAGACAACCAAATCATTTCATATAGAAGTGAAGCTCAAGCTGCTGAGGTCTCTTGATGCTGGTGCTTAACTGTGGCCTTGTAACAATGCTGAGAAGAGCAGGAGGAAGACGCCTTATATAGCTATTTTTCTTGTCTGAATGGGAGAAGTTCCACTGTGGGAACAGCTCCCTGGCTTTCCAAAGACGCGTCACATGTGTGTGGTTGAATGTTTGGGCAGCACATAGGCTCTTTATGAGGCCTGCAAATTAAATATGAATTATGCGTCACATGTGTGTGGTTGAAGATGCTGCCTGGATGTTTGGGCAGCACATAGGCTCATTATGAGGCCTGCAAATTAAATATGAATTACACTGTTTGTTTTTCAGAATTCAGAAGAGTTACTTTTTTTACTTCAATCAGAGCCAGCATAACTAAGGGGAGAAGAGGTCCAGAGCTGTAAATCCAATGAATAACTCTTACAAGTCACCTTGACAGACCTTGAAAACAACCTGTGAATTTTAATTCATTAAAATGAAACTCACCACTTTTTTGCTTAGCACAGGTGTAATGGCCACCAGTGAACATTATAAACTAATTTAACACTTTCAGTTTTTGCAAGTTTTTCACTCATTAATCTTAATCAGGATTAATCACCCTATGCCTTCTTCATTGCCAAAAGTTATTTGACACGCTAACCCCTCCAGTATCCGGTTTAGAGGGTGAAGGGCTGACTCCATCCAACCCAGGACTGAAAAAAACTCAATGGCCATTGGGGATTGAAAAGCCTAGTATAGTGAGGAAAAAGGTCCATTTGCTAACTATGAAATAAAATTCTGCCCATCAACGTATACCATGCCCAAATGGGTTACCTGGAATGGCTGTGTTTTAAGTGTGCACAAACAAAGTGGTGTAAATGTGAGTTGAAAGCATACTTTTCAAGTCAGAAAACCATAAAAATGTGAATTGAGTTTACCGGGACCAGCCCAGCCCAGCTCCCTTACAAGATTTCATTCATTCTAGATAATCTCAGTTTCTGCAAGAGTACAAACCTCCCCAAGAGTTAAATCACATAAAATGTGAATTGAGTTTACCAGGACCAGACCAGCCCAGCTCCCTTACAAGATTTCAGTCATTCTAGATAATCTCAGTTTCTGCAATAGTACAAACCTCCCCAAGAGTTAAATCACACCGAAGATACTCCTTGGGGGTAGTCTACAAATGTAAGGAAAACACACATTATAACTAATATTTCCTGATTACATGGTTAGTTGCCAGCAAGCACAAGAACTGCATATTGGGATGCTCTTTATCCCTCTTAGAAAGAAGTGGGATTAACTGGGAGAAATAACTGGGAGGTCCAGGAGTTCTCAGCAGTTTCATAAAATGATTGGAAGGGACCTTTCCCCTCCCCCCCTCTCAAATAACAGCCAGGCACTTCCTTCTTGTTGAAAGCCGTGCCTTCCCACAAGAAAGAAACACTGAGGGCCAACTCACCCTGGCTTCCATAACCTGCATCAATGCCAGAGCCATCCCAGGACTCCATGGCACTGTCCACGCTAGGGATAGTGGTGGAATAGATCTCGGAGAGCTTGCTCGTTTTCTGAGAGTCAGTCAGGTCATCCTCTGGGTCACTCACTTCATTCACACTCCCAGGCTTCTTGGGGTACGTCCCTGAGACCAAAAGAAAGAAGCACGTTTAAGCACATTAAGGTGTTGCAGAGAAACACTGCTAGACCCTGTGGGTTGTTTGCCACACTTATACCACTTTCGTTTCCCTCCAGATGTTGTGGGACTGCGACTCCCAGCATTCCACGCCACCAAGCATGCTGGCTAGGGCTGACGGGCGCTTCAGTGCAAGAACACCTGTAAGACCTCAGGTTGCCAACACATTCTATAGCTATGGGCTACTAGTGGGCACGTTTCATAAGGTGCAGGAGGAATTGTGTTTCTTCAGATACAATAAGGTGCCCTTCTTTCCCCTTCAGCCTGTGCTTTTGGCCCAGGAGAGCTTCAAGCTACATCAGACATGAGAACAACAAAGGGCAAAAATGATGGATTACTATCTGGATGGTATGGATTTGCCTGGAAGGAAGTCTCCTTGAAAGCAATTAGAGCAGAACTGGGCAAAATGTGGCCCTCCAGATGTTGCTGAACTGCAAATCCCAACACTCCTCACTATTGGCTGTATGAGCTAGGATTGATGGGAGTTGCAGTTCAGCAACATCTGGAGGGTAACATTTTGCCCGGGTCTGCGTAGTATTTCTTGAAGATAAAAGCTATTCTGTCTGAGAATTGATTCTCTGGGAAGGGCCAAAGTCTCCTTCAAAGGAAGTTTTTTTAGTGCTAAGGAAGTGATTTATTCATTAATTATCATCACCTAGACAATTTGCTCTTTGACCACAAAACATCTCCTGGGATGAAGGCTATTCTTGAAATACAGAAAGAAAAAAATGTGGTTTCCCCAAGATTATGATGGGTGAAGTTGCTTATGATGACTCGTTTGACATGGCTGCATCATTTCAACATGGGGAATTCACCTCCAGTCTTTTCCCTTCATGCGTTCCACACAGAGAGTGTCCTACAGAGTTTCTGTAGGGGAAGGGAAAGCCATGTGCTAGGCAGATCCTTCCTATGAAGGCAGCAGGATGTTCCCACAACAGGAGCAAATGGCTGAGTTCTGGGGTGATCATCTTTGGAATGTGAGAGCAGGTGACTCCTCAGTCTAGCCTAAGGGTGGTTCTTACAATATGGGTTTAAAAGGTAATGCAGGTTTTAAGAAGACAGAGACAAGGAATAACAGAGGTTGAAACCAGAGAGAGACAGAGAGAGAATGCTAGGAATGCTATGCTGCTTGCCTCTATCTGGGTTAATAATTTTTTTGGTTGACAAAATAGGCAAAAATGTTTTGCTTTTTCATTTTCTCCCATTTCCCCCCCCCCCCGGCCATTTACATTTTTACCCTTCCACAGGCAAAAAGTGGAACTCATAGATAAAGGAGATGCCCTATCTTTTCCAGAGTAGACAGAGAAATAAAACATCAGGCTTCAGAAGTGACAGTGGAAGGAAAGCCTGCCTTTAGGCAAGCAGGCATTCTAATCTCACAATGGTTAGGAAGCAAAGTGGGTGGACTGCATCAGGAAAGTCCTCTGCACTGGAAGACTGAGTAAAGACAGCTGGAAATATATAGGGTTTAAAGCCATCAGTCCTTTCTAGCAAGGAAAAAAAAACCTGCATGGGTTCTTTGTAATTTATCTTCACTAAAACAAAGATGATGAGGACAGAACCTTTTTCTGAACCTTACACATAAAGTTCAAACAGGATCTGAAAGAGAACTTCTCTCCTTTCAAGATTCTGGCTGAGATTTTTCGCCTGGCAAAGGAAGGATTGCTGTCGCATGGAATTTATAAAGCAAGGAACTCCACAGAGCCACAGAGTCTGCTGGGTGATGTCTGATTGACAGAGGGTTGGCAAGGAAAGAACCATATAACATTTTTCTCCAATTGGCTTTTCAGCCATTCTTTTTGAGGTGTAACGAGGCATCAAAGTGGAGCTGCTTGGAGGAGAGAAATGTTGTGCAGGAAGAAGGACTTTTGTTAGCAGCACTGACGTGATGCTCTTTACAGTATAAGATTAAAAGATTTCTGTTGCTGTTGTTGTCAAAAAGGAAGAGACAGCTCAAAATCTAATCGGTGTTACACCAGAATTTCAAGGGAGAGGGCTTGAAATCCATACCTGACAGGGAGTTACTCGCTCATCTACGAGATGTCCTTCCCTCCTTGTTGTTTCAAAGAAACCTCCCACAGAAACCAACCCACACACTAATCCTACACAAGTTTGGCATTATTAAAATATCATAGCCAGAAAAAGGTATTTATTTTGTCATTTACTTTTAGACTCTAAGTATGTCGTTTTGGGCAGCGTGGAAAATAAAATATAAAATAAAATATAAAATATCAACAATAAAATAATAACTGCATCAAAATAATCATATTAGATTAACCCTCAACTACATAAAAAAGCACACATACATACAGTCATTGCCAAAAATATTGGCACCCTTGCAATTCTTTCAGAAAATGCAACCCCAGGGTTGTTGCAGTTGCAAATGTTTTGGTACTCACATGTTCATTTCTTTGGTTTGCTCTGAAACAAAACCACACACACACACACACACACACACACACACAGAAGAAATGTCAAATCTGATACAATCCCACACAGAAACCCCAAAATGCACAGGCCAAAATTATTGGCACCCTTAACTTAATATGTGGTAACACCCCATTTGGAAAAAATAACCAAAATCCATTGCTTCCTGTAACCATGAATGAGTTTCTTACACCTCTCTACTGGAAATTTGGACCACTGTTCTTTTGCAAACTGCTCCAGGGCCTTCAGATTTGAAGGGTGCCTTCTCCCAACTGCTCTTTTGAGATCTCTCCACAGGTGTTCTATGAGATTCAGACCTGGACTCATTGTTGGCCATTTCAGAACTCACTAGCACTTTGCTTGTAACCATTTCTGAGTGCTTTTTGAAGTGTGTTTCGGGTCATTGTCCTGCTGGAAGACCCACGACCTCTGGTGGAGACGCAGCTTTCTGACACTGACCACTACGTTGCACCCCAGAATTCTTTTGTGATCATCAGATTTCATCATATCGTTCACACAGTCAAGGCATCCAGTGCCAGAAACAGCAAAGCAGACCCAAAACATCTTTGAACTTGCACCATGTTTGAATTTAGGGACTCTGTTCTTTTCTTTGAATGCTTCATTTCTTTTAATGAGAAATGAGTGCATGATGTCCTTTACCAAAAAGCTCTACTTTTGTCTCATCTGTCCACAGTACGTTCTCCCAGAAGGATTGTGGCTTTGTCACATATGTTTTGGCATACTTCAGTCTTGCTTTGGTATGCCTTTGTGTCAGCAGTGGTGTCCTCCTGGGAGGCCATTCACATCCAGGGAGTTTAACTACAGTGCCATGGGCTGTAAACTTCTTGATGATATTGCACACAGTGGACACAGGAACATTAAGATCTCTGGAGATTGACCTGTAGCCTTGAGATCGTTGATGTTTTTCCACATTTTTCTCTCTCAAATCCACAGACAGCTCTTTACAATTCATTCTTTTCTCCATGCTCAGTGTCACACACAACACAAAAGTTGAGCCAATTTTTCTCCATCTTAACTGGTTGCAAGCATGATTACTAAACTGCACACCTCTTACCTGAGACAAGTGTGTCTAAATACAAATTAAAGGATTATCACATGCTTGAAAAGCAATTATTTCTTACAATTTAGATAGGGTGCCAATAATTTTGGCCAGTGCATTTTTGGGTTTCTGTGTGGGATTGCATCATTTGACTTTTCTACTCTGTTTTTTTTTTTGTGTTGTTTCAACGCAAACCAAAGAAATGAACATGTGAGTACCAAAACATTTGCAAGTGCAACAATTTTCAGAGAGAAAGGTTGCATTTTCTGACAGAATTGCAAGGCTGCCAATATTTTTGGCCATGACTGTAAATACAAGGAGTGTGGTGCCATACAAATAAGGCTCACTATTATTTGTATGTTATCTGTAGCAATATTGGCGCTAGTGCACTGGTTGCAACATTGTATAGTTTAAAGCAGGAGACAGTAAAAAGAGCCAAAACTCACTTTCTGTTTGCTTCTTAATCTTCAGTGTTACCGTTTCTCCAGCCATTTGGAGAAGATGAATGGCTTCGCTCAGTGGCTTCCCCTTAAGGCTTACATTATTAATAGCTAATATCCGGTCTCCTACATGGATGGCCCCAGTTCTAAACCACAAATACAGAAAACTGCAGTTGTTATCCATGACAGTGATTTCATTTAAAAGCATAAAACCAGAACAAAATTAAGCTATTTCATCCTGCACTTCAAGATATTCACACTCAGAAAGACAATTCAATAAATTAGATTTAATTCTGTTTCAACATTTTATCTTGTTTCATGTTTCTATATATAAAAATATATTTGTACTGATTAGTATATTAGTAATCTGTCTGTCTGTCTGTCTGTCTTCATACTAACAGCTGCCTTGAGTCCCCTTGAGTCCCATTTTTGTAATAAAGATGGGATATAAAAACCAATTAAAAATTAAGCAACAATTGCACATATGTCTACCCTACCATGTTAAACATGCTCAGTCTCATCTGATTCTAAAAGCTAAGCAGGATTGAGCTTGGTCAGTACTTGGATGGGAGACTACCAGGAACACCTGTATTCTCCCGGTAGTGATAAGAAATTGTGGAGATCTATTGTCGGTCAAAGGTGACACTATTGGGCTATAACAACTCCCAGAATTCCTGACCAGCACAGTCGGTGGGGAAGGTTTCTGGGAGTTTTAATCCAAGAACATCCGGAGACCCAAGGTTGGGAACCACTGGTATTCATGGACCAATAGTCTGATTTCAGTGTCCTCATGACAGATTCTGCAGGATCAGGGTCCTCAGAAGATCCAGGCAGCCATTTGTTTCAATCCAGTGGTCTACCGTGACAAAAGGATCTCTCCTAAATGCATGTGCTTATGAAAACACTCCCACTTCAGTGAATCACAAGGGCTGGCCTGTTACTTTGTATGGAATCTGCACTTAAGCCTCCTTGTACACATCTTGAAACAAGTCAAAAGCGAACATCTGCACAAGACTTCTGAACATGAAAACAGATTTCATCCTTACTCTCCCAGTTCTTAGTCACTTCTGCACCCACTGTCATTTCATCTGATTTGCAGAGGTGGAAATGGCATGGAAGGTGATGATTGCCAAGGATGCAATAATGTTACACTTGGCATGGTATCTGGTGGATACCCATTAAAAAATTTACATGGTTGCCCCAACCAAACAAATGGGCCCCGGGATCAAATGAGGCAGCAAAAGACTGATGTCAAAGAATGGTGGACAAAAGCATTGTTCAAAAGCAGTGACCAAGTGCTTATGTTGTCGAACCAGTTATATTGCGACTTTACTGGAACCAGTTGTATTGGCCAGTGCATTTTTGGGAACCAGTTGTATTGCGACATTGCTGGAACCAGTTGTATTGGCTCGTGCCTTTCCATTGGACCATTTCAGCAATGTGGAGAGGGGGGATCTGCTGCTTGGGTAACAGCCTATCCTCCATATTACCTTACTCGGGCTTCATGCTCTGGAGAGGACAGTCCTCGATTCAGAGCATGTTACCATAGTCTCTCGAGACTGAAGGATGCCTATGCTATCGGTCACACACATGTCCAGTAAGGTAGTTATTTTTCCTGCCACTTCTTTGGCTTCACCAAACATGTTAATGTTGAAGGAAAGACTGAAGTTACAAATACGTGATGCAATCCTGTACGTAATCACTGCAGCAAATTACTCTCACAAGGAATAAGAAACGAACAGCCACAAAACATGCCATCCAGCGAGGATCGTATCAAATGTGTTTGTCAGGGCAGGCTCTCTTTTGTGTGGATGGGTTCTGTTTCACCTGGATTAGCCAGAATTTGGCCAGTCATATAAATGGACTGTGAATAACGGTATTTACCTGGCTGTGTACTGAGTGCCGTAAAGATGCTTTGTACCGGGACCACAATAACAGGGCACTTTTGTATGACCTCAGGAAATAACTGGCTCCAGAATTTAGCCAGTCATATAAATGGACTGTGAACAACTATGGAGCTGTACATTTACCTGGCTGTGTACTGAGTGCCGTTAAGATGCTTTGTACCGGGACTACAATAACAGGGTACTTTTGTATGACCTCAGGAAATAACTGGCTCCTTCTTCAGTATTTTATTAACCCATCACAAGCTTTGAGCCCAAAGAGTTGCATCCCAGTGGACACAAAAAGCAAATCATGTCATGTCATATATTTATTTCACAGTTACTGGATTAAGCTAACTACGGCTGTAATGCATGAGATAAACTGAAGTTGCTGAGCAGGGTAATGGTGACTAAGAAGCTGGAAATCTCTGCTGCATGTATATTCTGTTTTTCTTCCAAGAAGCTCTGGGGTACCCCTCCTCCCTGTTCCCAGTTTTCTACTCACAGCAACCCTGTGGGTAAGTCAGACTGAGGGAGTGTCCAAGCTCACCTGTGAGCTTCAAGGTCAAAACCAGATTAGAACTAAGGTCTCCACAGTCTATGACTACACCAAGTCACGGAAGGGAAGAGAATAACGCTGGGTGAAGCTTAGCTTGTTTGCTATACTGACGGTCCACACACACTAGACAACAACAATAGAAACTGCACACCCTCCCATTGCAGTTCTATAAGGTATGACTGAATCTGCTAACAGTTCTCTTTGGGGCTTACTTTATCTTTTATCGGCAGATTCTTGTCCTACATTTCCTTTCTGCTTCCTTTGGCAGGCAAATTAATTTTTGCCAACAACTCTCATAAATAAAAAAGTACAATCTATTTTCGGCTTCAGATAACAAAAGCATCACACACCGCTGTGCCAATCTTCCACATCTCGTTTGTTGCTAGTTAATTAGGATAGGATTCAGCTCCTTTCTTTGTGGAGCTTCTTTCTTTTTCTCCCCCCTACTTTCTTCAATTCAATGCATTGATTTCCCAGCTATCCACCAGAGGTCAGTATAATATCAGTAAAAGGGGGAAAAAACAACAACTGTGGGACCGGCAACGTATTCAACCCAGTGCTAGGCCACAGTACTAGCTGGTTGTGGGTTCTATGATGATGCAGCATTCCTGGGAAGCAAGATGATTGCCTTCCTACTGAGATCAGTGCTCTTTGTTTCTTCCAAGAGTATGCCTATAAACAATACTATGACATCACTTTGGGCAAGGAATCCAGGAGATCTGGTAGTAAGGGTTTCTTTCCAATAAAAGACAACAGGTCCTCAGCTAGCTTGGAAAAGAAAGTACACCCTTCCCAGCAAAGAGGTAGGCTTCCCCTCACTCGGTCACCAATATTCCTCTTCCATCTTTCTAGATAATAAATCTAGCTTGTCTCCAACATATAATTTCTTGAAACCCTGAGGGTATTGTAGACCCTGATGGACTAGTGAAACACATCCTAACTCTGAGCCTGAAGTTTAGATCAGTTTCACAATCTGAAGTGGAGTTCTCCTGAGAAAACTAAGAATTTTTCAATTAACCTCCAATAACGTTTTACAGATTCATAAATTGAAGATTGTTTTTGTTTGCACTGGAAGAGAAGCAACAGACTGTCTGAATGTTCATTATGCAAATGTAAGAGTTTTGGAGAATGTATCTCCTGGAAGGATGTTTCTCTCATTTCCAATTGTGACGCGGCCATCTCATCTAGTCCTACCTTTTGAAACCAACAGGCGGCTCACAAATGGATACATGACTTTCAACTGGTAGATTAAATAAAATTTATGGATTCAATTTTTTTCCATCCACAAAAAGTTACAGCTGATTCTCTACTGTCCAAAGTGTTTCTGACAGATTGTTGTTGTTTAGTCGTTAAGTCGTATCCGACTCTTCATGATCCCATGGAACAGAGCGCGCCAGGCCCCTCCTGTCATCCACTGCTTCCCGGAGTTGGGTCAAATTCGGACAGATACCTTACTTTTATTTTACAATAAAAATTCTTGATGTGTTAAATCAACCATTTTCATTCTGCCTCTTCCATCACTGGAGGAAAACTATTGATTATTGACATAATGTTACTTTGTTTTAACTTATTACTACAATCACTATGCAACCTAACCGTTAGCCACTATGGATGCTGTAAGAGAAGGTTGTCTATTACTTATAACAAAATACTGCAAATGAAGATCTCTGCAGATAAGGACCTCATCTACAGAATAATTTACCTCCAACCTCAGATTCAGTACTATCCACAGCTGGATGGAGAATATATCTTTGAATTCTGGAGGAAAGCTGTTCCTCAGAGCTAAGCACAACTTTAATAGTCATCATGAGCCTCAGGCAGGATAGTTTGATGTACGAGAATGACAACAGGCATTTTGGATGCTTCAGTCCCAAGTACATTCATAAAGACTACACATCTCCCAAGGATACTTCAAAATGAATATCATAAATTGTCAAAGTTGAGCCAATGCTTATCAAAAGATGTTTTTTTCTTGAGAAAATTGTTAGGATTTTTTCTTCTTTCACCCTTTTAGGAAGAAAGGGACACCTATAGCAGAATGTTCAAATTTCAATGTATCTCCAAATTTCAATGTATCATTTGGGCACAGCTCTTATGACTGTTGTTTTGCTAGCTAAAGAGTTATTTGAGTTCTAGAGGTGGCAGGCCAGAATAACAAACAAGACCCTGCTCTGGATCTTCTTTGATATCAAATTTTATTTGTTCAGATTTACTGGGCTTTTAAAATTGTGTTTTAGTTATTATTATAAAAAGTGTTTCTGTTTGATGACTGGAGTTTTTTGGTTTTTACAAAGAAAGGATATGCATCTCGCAAATGAATAACTTGGCTCAAAACATCTATCCATTTGTTCTTTTCAGATACTGTCATCCTGGGCATGGTTACACTATTGAAAGAAAATGGGTGACAGATCAGGTTTTTTTGAATTCGGTTTGAATTCAAATGGCAATCACAAGGTATTTGGATCAATATGTGTGTCCTCTTGGGAAGATTTTTAGTCCATTTTTAAACCGTGTTGAATATTGGGGAGCTACACTTGCTTTCAGAATCAGTCCATTTTTGGCTTTGGCCTGTCCCCACCTGCCCTTGAGCAGCCTGACTCCCACAGCCATTAGCCAGTGCTGATGTGCTGTTACCGTATTTTTAACTTTATAACACGCCCCTGTTTATAAGATGCCCCCCCAATTTTCTAACCCCCCAATTAAGAAAACGTAGTTTTGAGGATTCAGCCTCTGAACTCAGAACGTCGGCCATTTTGTCTCTGTTGAATCTTGAGCCTACAGGCTCCACCTCCAAGGAGGTGTGTTCCAATTGGCTTGTTCAGGGTCAGCTGACGTCAGTTCCATAAGGCTCCTGACTGGAAGAAGCTAAGTCTCCCGACTGTAGGAAATTCAGCCTTGTGGCTGAAGAGAGTTTGTTTACAGAGGCAAGATATTTGCCATTTTGTTCTCTTCTCAGCTATCTCAGCTTTCTCAGCTTATTTCCGTGTAAAAGACGCCCCTCAATTTTTAGGATAATGATTTTAGGAAAAAGTAGCATCTTATAAATGGAAAAAAAAGGGTAGTTTAATTGTTTTGGCAATGTGGTTTAGTGCTAGTACAGAATGACAGATAGGAAAAAAAATTAAACAGAGTTTTCCCTCCAACCTGACACATGTGCTCAAACACAGACAGACTAGGCTTGCAAAAGTAGCAACACACACACACACACACATATGGACAGTGAAGAGAAAGGAGCACAGAAGGCACATCAGTGAGTGGCAAACCCCACAGGCACAATTTACACTGACATAGGGTTCACATATACAAAAATGATTGAAATATATGCAAGAATGATTTCGCAAGTGATTTACAGTGGGGTCTTGACTTGAGAACTTAATCCGTATTGGAAGGCGGTTCTCAAGTCAAAAAGTCTGTAGGTCAAGTCTCCATTGACCTACAGTGCATTGAAAACTGATTAATCCCGTAACAGGCCGTTTTTGTTCCATTTTGGTTTTTTTCTGGTCTGTAAGTCAATTCTCAGGTTGCAAGTCAAACCTAAATTTTGCGGCCAGAGAAGTCTGTAACTCAAAAAGTCTGTAAGTCAAGCTGTCTGTAAGTCAAGGGTCCACTGTAAAATACACATACTAAACCTGAATCAAATGGAGTTTTTCCCCCCCACATGTAACCATGTTCCCTGACAGGTTCTCTTGCTTGGGGAGGCACTCTTACAAAAATCAACTCGGATTTATATCCATGCATTTAATACTTTAATCAAAGAAGCTGTGTATTCAGAGGAAGTTTTACTTTCCCCCGCAAGGAACATAAAATTATTTTTTTCATGTTAGAAGGAACAAATTGAAAAACTGTACGTCTCAAGACTGTGTGCCACAACTGGGTCTATCGCTCTGTGTGTGTTTGCACAACAAATTGGTAATGCAGAAAGACTTGTCTTGCCCCTTCACACATGTAATACAGATAATTAGCTGGAAAACAAACAGGTACATTTTTGGGGGGGTTTGTGCCCGTATTACCTGAGATCTGCCCATCAGGATGCAAATTGTGACTCACCTTTCTGCTAGGCCTCGTTTTGTTAAGCCTGAAATGACAATGGGGTCAAAAGGCTCCTCTGTCCCTGAAATAGTTATTCCCAGGGGTCCACCATATCTTTTCAGTTCCACTGTATAGATGATAGCACCAGTTGTTTCCTGTTCATCTGTCAGGGGTAAAAAAAAAAGAGGATATTGAACAACAACTTTAGAAATCATCTAGGCAGGCATCAAAGCAGAGACCATTTCCCAGCCAATGGCTAAGCAGCTTTTCACCCTTTCCATCTCTTTGTGGGAACCTGTGTGCACAAAGGTCTACACTTAAGATGGTAGGTGAGCCCATGCACATAGTATGGAGATGCTAATAAAGTAAATCATACTCCTCAATGTATCTGTCAAATCTGTCATTGATGGAGAATGCTATTAGAGAGGGCTGATAACAAGGCCCATTCAGTATTTTTGTACCAGAATTATCTTCATCCTTCCTGATCTTCAATTTAACGAGTTCTTCACACTGCTTTAAAATCTGCACTGCGTCCTCCATTGAGCAGTTGTCGAGTCGGATATTATCAATGGCTAACAGCTTGTCTCCAGGTTCTAAAGTGCCTGTCCTGCATACAAAAGAAAAACAATCCTGTGTTTAACATAGCCCAGAGAGTAGGAGAATATCTTATTTTCAGAGAGCATTTTTGTGTGTGCAGTAGGACGATTTTTCTTGAATGGGAGAGCTATTCCAGCATGAAGACAGAAGGCACAAGTCAGAGAATAAATCAAAAGAGACTCAAATAATAAAAAGCCACCCTGAGACTGTACCTCATATTCAGTGGACATCCCCGTGAGTTCCCAGTAGCTACTCCCCAACTGCTGAAAAGTTTCAACATGTTTTGTATTGTTTCAGAACCAGTATTTTAATCAAATTGGAACATGCTAGAATTTCACATCATGGTATGGCCTCTAATTAGACATAAAAGGGAAGGTTGGTAGTGCCAACAATACAGTTGTACTTGTATCCAAAAATCCAAAATACCACAAGAAACGGGGTTAATGCTCACATAGTCAAGGTTGGATGTTTCTCTTTTCTCATAAGATATAATCGAGAGCAGCAATCGCACTAGTATCAGTTTAAATATTGCTTCAGAAATGCATATAGTATTTGTTCTGGTTATGTGCCATCGATTTGCTTTCCACCTACGGCAACCATGTTAATTTATGACCTCCATAAGGCTCTGTCATTAACAGCCCAGCTCACGTATTGCAAACTAAAGGTTGTGGTTCCATTGTTGGGTCAATCCAGTTCATGTTAGATCTTTCTCTTTCCCTGCTTTCTTTCCCTACTTTTCCAAGCATTATTGACTTTTTAGTAAATTTTATCTTTTCCTGAAACATCCAAAGTATAACAGACTCAGTTTAGTACAGTGGCGCCTCACTTGACGATGTTAATTTGTTCCAGCGAAGTCGCTGTAGAGCGAAAATATCGTCAAACGAAACAAAAAACCCCATTGAAATGCATTGAAAACCGGTTCAGGCAGCCATTTCGGTGCCTGTAAAGCAAGGAATCCATCCTAGAAAAGAGCGGGGGCCCAATTTCTTCACCTGGTGGCCATTTTGAAATCCAACAACCAGCTGTTTGCTGACTGTCGTAAAGCGAAAATTGGGTCCTGAAGCAGGGAACTGATCATCGTTAAATGAAAAAACCCAATTTAAAACATCGTTTTGTGATCGTAAAAGTAAGTGATCGCAAAAAACTAATTGTATAGCGATTTCCTCGTTAAGCGAGGCACAACTGTAATCTGGTTTCCAAGCTGAGTCAATCATACTCTGAACAATGTTCAATGTTGATTTGATCTGGAATCCACTTATTTTTCTGATGGTTTGTGATATCTGTTCAATTTATATGCAGAACACAAAATATTTATTTATTTATTTATTTATTGGACTTATATACCGCCCCATAGCGCTACAAGCACTCTCCGGGCAGTTTACAATTTTAATTATACAGGCTACACATTGCCGCCCCAGCAAGCTGGGTACTCATTTTACCGACCTCGGAAGGATGGAAGGCTGAGTCAACCTTGAGCCGGCTACCTGGGATTTGAACCCCAGGTCGTGAGCACAGTTTTAGCTGCAGTACAGCGTTTTAACCACTGCGCCACGAGGCTCTTATATATGAAAAGTTGGGCTAGATTCAAATGTAGGAGTGAAAATTTGTCAAAGAAACCACAATAATTTAAGATCTGCAGATCCATCTTCTTACAAATCAATAATCTATTAAACTGAATACTACTCCTTTAAGATGTACCTCTATAAAGATATAAGGACATCTTACAGCTTCTAGACCAGAGGTCCCCAACCCCTGGTCTGTAGCATGAGCTGGACCAGGCTGTCGAGACAGACCTCCTTCCCCCCCTGCACACACTCACCCCCACATAGCCCGTTTGCAGCTGTGTGCGCTCCAGCATGCCCGTGTGAGCGCCATGCCTCCGTTTGCGCACAAGCGAGTGCCTAGACAAGCGTGCATGCTTGTTCGCACATGCGCACAAGTGCAGGGGGTGCCCCACCTTCCCCAGCCAGTCTGTGGACCAAAAACGGTTGGGGACCTCTATAGACCACATACACAAAACAACTGTTGCTACAAAATAGTATCTGTATTTTGCAAAGGACAAGAATACACACACATCTGTGAACTTCAAGAAAAGGAGGCAAATCTGGTGATAGATTTGGGAAAGAACTTTGCCACACAGCTTAGAAGCTGCTTCAAGTTGGATAGCATTGAGTTAGATGGCACAGTGGTTTGAACCAAGGCATGACGGCTTCCCATGTACCATATGGGTTCAGCCACATCCCAGAATCTAATAACCCTCCAAAACAAGAGGGTTTGTGAGCAGTAAGCTCATTTCTACATGCTTAGAATGGACCCCACACAGGAAATCACACACTTCACTCACCTGTGTGCTACACTCCCCTTCTTGATGTCAGAGATAATTAAAGGCTCGCCAGACTTTCTGCTTGCTGTTTCAAAAGAGAAATGGGCAGTTTAAACTCAGTCCAAGCTTCTAGATTGTATAAGATAATATTTGGCATTATGCTACACATACCTTACAAAATACAAAGCATTAGGTTATTCCTCGTTTTGCAACTTGCAATTTAATGAAAAACTGTAAATAAAAACTGCTAATGTTCCATCTAACATTTATGAAGCACAGGCATTTCACAGACATTACAAACACTGTAATAATTGCACATATTTGCATCACATATCTGCCCCCTGAGGAAAAGTTCTGGACTTTTGTTGTATCACATTCTTTCTTATTTTTTCTAAAGCAGACTAACATGGCTATTCCTTCAAATGCCAAAACACAACTCTGAGTATTTCACAGATCAGTGGTCAGAATCCTGTTAGCTGCACCTCTCAGCGTAAGTTATCCGTGTAAATCTTAGTGGTGTATTGCCACAAGTTAAGAAGACCATGTAGCCATTTTTATTGTGCACTGGATCATGTGATTCAGCACATTCAACAACAAATACCTTTGTTGACTTCTTATACTTCGGCAATTCACTACTAAGATTCATCGTTGTTTAGTCATTTAGTCGTGTCTGACTCTTTGTGACCCCATGGACCAGAGCACGCCAGGACCTCCTATCTTCCACTGCCTCCCGGAGTT